CTGCTCGGCGGGACTCGCCCCCGTGTGCTGCGCGGCCGATAATGTCATCAAGCCTGCCGCGCCTAGTGGCATCACCCCGGCTATATAAGGAAGACCGGCAGCCTCACTCACCGGTGAGTGATCTTCAGCTATCTTTATACCTGCTCTGCTCTCTTATACTCACCTGTGAACTGACCCGGCTTTCTACTCCACTACCCTTTCTGGATCCTGCTCCTGTACCACGCTGTCCTCTCGTTCCTGACCCGGCCTGTTCCCGACTACTATGTGGCTCATCCACCTGCCTATCCGCTATTCCTGCACCGCTCGGCTGCCAGCCCTGCCAAGAGCTCTGTACTCATCCAGATACCAAGGATTCCTCATCTGGCACCCGTGCAGCTCCAGCCTGTGCACCACCTGTTGCACCTCCAGAGGTCCGCAGACGGAGTTGCAAGGGAGGTCCTCCTCGTCACTTCGGGCTCGCACCATGGTACGTGACACCGGGACATGGACAGCAATCATAGGCGTTTTAGCCATTTTCTACTCTAGGGGCTTTTAACTATTCCCTACTCTATTCAAAATGTAAAGCTTTCATACTGAAAAGTTTAATATGATTATAGTTTGCCTTACCTGGTTATTGCCTCCCCCTTTCATGAACATGCTAATGTAAAATTTTAAATAAAGCCTTTCCCTGTTTATTACATACCTGATTTTAAGTCACTACCGGGTCTCTCTACTTCTCTATTCAATGCAGGCAGATCAAGGTTGGAGTTCAGCTTTAACAACATATATTTGGCTACAGTTTAAGGACTGAGCAATAATTAAAATATAAGTATATTCTACACAATAACCATTTGATATTAAGGATTTTTTGTAAAACATGACATTGGCAAACTTCATCTTAAAAAATGATACTTTTATTATGAAACCAAGTGTGCTTTTATTATAGTCTTTTTTTATTAATGTAACTTCTCTGTGCATTATTCAGTTCTGCTGGGCAAGGTGATCTTTAGAATGCTGTGAAACATTTTAATTTTGCATAGAGCAGATTTTTTTGGCTTTGTTGTTTCAGCTGAATGTTAAAGCCAAAATACTGGATTTGATTCAATCGTTGTTAGATGTTTCATCATGGTTGTCAATAGATTCCTGAGCTTGTTGGCGTTTTGGTGGTTTAGCCTGCATAATAAAAATGTTAGACCATTAGTAACGTGTTTATAACAAAGATCATTTTGATATAGTTTTACTTGTAGTGAGAAGTAAATCTGAAAAAGCTAGTGCGGTGCCTGCTGCAGATACAGGGAAGTCTTCTGTCCCAGATTTCCCTTGGGGCTCTCTGCAGTGATCACTCGACATGTCACATGAGCTAACAAGGGGAGTCAAAGACTGGAGACTTCACTGTAAGGGTTCATGCATGCGCCCATGAAAATACAGTAACTAGTCTAGCAAGTTCCTGCATATAAGTAGGCTGTGCGCATGCAGGGCCGGCCTTAGGCCTTTAGGCGCCCTGTGCGAGAAAGCTTTACAGCGCCCCTCCGTGACCACGCCCCTCAGTGGCCACACCCTCAGTAACCACACCCATTTATTACCCATATTTTTGGTAAAATATAAAAAGTGCGGTCACGTCGGGTAAATAGACACCAAACATGTCATGCTTTAAAATTGCGCGCACCCGCAAAATCGCAAAAAATTACCATGCCCAAAATTGACCATAGGTGACGCTTTAAAAGCTTTTACCGCTCATCAGTTTAGTGTTATCAGTGATTGATAGCCCTACAATTATTGCTCTCATTCCGACGTTTGCGACGATATGTAACATGTGCGGCGTAATGGGCGAAATCGTCGTTTTCACACGTATGCGCACCCGACGCCTGTTTGCATGCATGTATGTATGGGGGGGACTTTAAAAAA